AGATGGTAAAAATAAAAATAAAAACTCGTCATAGATCATAACAAACACCTTCTTGACCTGTCTGAAATAATAATGAATGAAAATGTGATGCAGAATTGCAGTTTTATACATTTTTTTGTGTTAATAAAAGAATAAAATGGGATAAATCAGACAAACTTGCTGTAAAATCTCAAACCAAATGACTTGATTTTGTTTTTCTTTGTGTGAAATCATCCAGGTTTTGATGCCAAGAGTCCAGGATACACAGTTCTGCACAACGCCTAGTTAGACTTAAGCCTGATTTATGCTTCTCCGTCTGCGTCAGTGCGGAGCACAAGCAACGCCATTATCCGTCCTTGCGTAGGGCTCCGGCAGGCACGCAAGTACGTACGGAGTCGAGCCCACTTTTTTAAACATTCGTCGAACGAGACGGATTACGCAAGCTTGTGATTGGTCAGGACGCCGCTGTTGTTTACAGCGCCGCCATTGCGAAGAGAGCCGAGGATAACTAGCGGCAGACACGGAGAAGCTTGAAGAATACCTCGCGAAAAAACTCTAAAATATGAACGTTTAATTCTCCCGTGACTGGAGGAGTGAAAAGATGCACAGCAAGCATTTTATTTGTGGATGGAAATGACAGGAAACGTGGGTTTAGAGGTGGGGAGCGCATGAAGCAGTGGGAGAATGAGAGACAAATATGTCCGTGTTAAAAGTCTCTTATATACACAAAAATCATAATATAAACACACCATCTTGGACCGATACATGACAGGATACCACAGAACAGCGCTACGCCCTCTGTTGTCCTGCCGGGCAATTGCTTTGCAACTCTCTCCAGGAGACGGAGAAGTAAAAGAGCAAAACGCTTCCGTCAATCCGTGAGTGTCTGTCCCTTGCGGAGCTGACGGAGAAACATGAACCAGGCTTTATTTAAAACAGCTCTTCTGGGTAATGTCTAGAACATTTCAGCTTTTCATTCTAAGTGTGGAAGACAATTGCAGAATTTTTGGTCACTTTTTTTGTCCACTAGTAGCTTGCCCAACTAAATGTTACACTGTTTTGCAACCTATTAATTTTATCTTTGTCTTCTAGTGAACTAAAGTACTCCTGCACGCTCGAAACACACATCTGTTCTATTTATCCACTGACATATATTTGGGGGGGGGGGGAAAGGTCTGTTTTTTTCCAGGATTTTGCAGCTGGCAGCTTTTTTGTGAATCTGGGCAGAAAACTAGCTTAGGTCTTCTGCTCTAATTCGTGCCCAGCTGCAGGCCTGCACTGTAGGTGCATCACACATGGTGTAATCCTTTGGGCTTGTCGTGCATACATGAAAATCAACGTGCATAAATCCAACAAGCACAACTAGCTCAGAGGAGGGAACACCAGATGTACAGACAACACTGCAGCGTATAAAGATACGTCAGCTATAAAATGTCAAAAAACGTAAAATACAATAATAATGTTTAAAAATGATTTAACTGTGTTCTGTAGGTGTGGCTTTCCTCTTGGTATGAGATCTTTCCCTGAGGGAGAAAAACATGTTGCAGCTGATGTACAAGTGATGCAAAACACCATCCTTTCTTTTCTAAAACCACTTTCTGCACCTGTGTTGGGTTTTTAATGTTTCATTGGAATTTCTTTTTATTGAATAATGTATTGGATGCTGGAATTGTGCTTCTCCCTCTATTTATACTCAGGCTTTACTTATAATTTATACATGTGTAGAAGTCCTTCCATGCATGTGAGTCATGGTAAACTGCAGCGTGCACTTTTCATCCAATGCAAATTCTAGTTTTTCTTTTCTCCCTCGCTTTACGTCTGGCCACTCACTGCCTTTAACAGTCTGTGCAAATATGATGGAGCATGCTCCAGCTCTGTTTAGTTAAATTATGGTCATTAGCTTCCAGCAGGATTACAATTATTCTGGTTAGCTGCAAATCTGTCACCCTCAAATTGCAAAGAATAAAGTACATGATGTGCATATGCATGCATATATATATATATATATATATATATATATATATATAATGGAGTAGGAAGTGACGCCACCATCAGCGTCAGCTCTGAGGATGTTTGCAGCCACAAACGAAGCTGTCTGCAAGGTAAAGAGAAACCTTTTCTGTGTTTTAAAAAAGAACCAACAATGTCATTCAGTTTCCAGCTGAGGCCCGAATCGGCCACATCGGGAAAGAAGCCTCTATTGTAACAAACTCTTTCGACCTTAAGTCAAAAACCTTTCTGCGATGCTGCAAGTGATTACAGACACACCAGCTCTTTTCAGAGCTACTTCAACTCCCAGACATCCACCTTGGACACCTAATATGCAGACCTCGGGTTGCATCTCATGGCCGGGGAAGCCAAACTCAGAGGAAGCTACTAATCTCTGAGTATCGTGGTTTCGACGCCCGGTGACCTCACCACTCTGACCGCAACGCTCCGGACCGCCGGGAGCAACTCTTACCAGGGTATCGTAAGCCTGCATACTGGTGTCTGATGAGGTTTTTATCAATAGATTTCACAATTTCTCTCAGATACAAAGAACGGTTGCTGCAACATCTAGCTTCCATCACAACACCTCACACCCACCACATCACATCTCATTATTCATATCTTGTCATGTATCATTAATTTAGGAAAAATAATTAAATTAATTTTATAAACTATATACTGACTCTGTCTGAATTAATACGAAGTGTGTTTACGGTCCCCGAATAAGCAAAAAACCCTAGAATCCTCTGATTAAACATTCAAAGATCAGTCAGATTGATATTTCATATTTGTATGGAATCATCACATCTTATTGGTCATAATTAATATGTATTAATTGCTACAACACCCTTTAAAGATAAATAAATAATTAGGTTGATCTCTAATGTCTTTAAAAGTGCAACCAAAAAAAGGTCATTAAGGCCTACATTTATTCTAAATACACTCCAGACTAGTTATTGCATTATGCAATTTGCATAAATCATATCCTGTTGTTTGAAGCAATCGTCAGAGGGTAACTGTGCAACACCACTTTGGCTAAAAACCCAAAATATAGCGTAAAATGTAAGTGTACTTCCTTTGTCTTATTCTAAACACTTGTTTTTAAGGGGGATTTGCAAAATTCACCTTTTGGAGCCTTTTCAGATGCCATGTGGGTCTTTAGTGCATCTATAAACACTCCAAACGTGAGTAAAACCTCCATCCATTTTCTGTTAGTATTTGGTTCTGGGAATGATGTGTCTAAAACAAGTCATTTCAAAAAGTTGTAGTGTCACAAAAGTAATTTGTGGAGTAGAGTGGTGCGTGGGGGTGTATGTGATCAATAAACACTCAATTGCATAGACTTTAATTTGTTTTCATTAATAAAAAAAATTAAATGCCAAATAAAGATCCCTATTTTAATGGGGTGAAAACTTGAAGACATCAGAATGACATCATCTGCAATAAACAAAGACGAGACCCTGAGGTTCCAAAACCAACCAGGAACCAAATTCTCCACACTTATGTCAAGATCCTGGTCCATGAACATCGCCGGCTGGAGAGCTGTAAGCTTGACTTGAATGTTTGAATGCAGATGCAGCTCGTGTTGTGTGAGGGACATCTGGGCCACAACCCTGGGTTATCTCTGGGCAAGCACACACACGTGTGAATGTGTGTGTAAATGAATGGATGACTGTGTTGTGAAGTGCTTTGGGGGGCTGTAAAACTCAAAGGAAGCACTATAGGTCATTTATCCATTTAAACCCTGGTTTAATCCAACAGACCTCTGAAATGTCCCTAGGTGTGTCAATAGTTGTTTGTCTCAGTGTGGCTCTGTCGTGGACTGTCGAGGGTGTCTCCACTCACCCGTCACCACTGGATAGATATGGCAAAAACAGTATGACTTAATTTAGACATGGAATTTTTATTCTGTGAAATTATGTTTTATTTTTTTTTACTTAAAATACACAATCACAATTTTCATCTGTAAATATTCAACAGCAGAATTTCAACTGAGGTGACCTCTTGGAGACCCAAGCCAAAGTAATCATCACTTTGAGTGGAGTGGCTTTCAGCCAATCACATTACACTTCTCTGATCACATGACACCAGCCCAGATGACTGCAGTGGCTTGGATCAGGAGGAGGTCACCTCATTGTTGTTGAATTTCTGAAATTCCATGTTTGCAGCAGAAAATCAGCTGTTGAATTTTTGAAGATGAAATTTTTGCTGGTGTAAAAAAAAAAGTCAAATACCTAATGTCAAAGAATAAAAATTCAATATAAAAGCTCGTATTCTGGTGAGACTGTATTACTTCCAAAGAAAGGCATCATCCACCTTCACTCTAGTGAGGATGACGCGGTTTAGAAAATGAGAGGCTGTAAAGTCACCATTAGATGATGTTTGCAGGAAGTGAAAACCAAAATTGAAACTAACATCATTGCAGAGCTACAGTAAGCAAGTAGAGTGACTCGTATCATTCTTTGGATTGTGCACTATGCACTATTGTTGTATTTGTGTTGTGGAGATGAATTTAATCCGGTGTGTAACTGGAATGTAATGTTTTTGGTGCTTTTGCGTTTTAGGTAGGGTAAAATAAGGAAGTTGTGAACTTCCACCTACATCCTTTTGCTAGTGAAACCAGTTGTTTGGCTGCATTCATTCATTTTTGTGAGACATTAAACGGTCTTTTATAAGACCATGTAAGCTGCAAACTCCAAAGAATAATGAAGGCAAACACTCTAAAATAAAAAGATCTCTCATTAGAAGTGTGTTTAAAAAGACATAAAAGGGTCTTTTCCTTGTGCAAACGTGCATATCTCATGACTATGAAAGAAAGAGAAAGAGGCCAACTTCAGTGTATCGCAAGCATATCAGTGAACTCCTCATTCATGTTCTCTCCTGCTTTACCAGGAATCCTCTGAACGTCGTTTCCTTTATAAATACCTTTATTCCGCGACGCTGCTGCTGATGTGTAGCTGAGGCGTGACTCAGCAGCAGTTTTAACAACCAGTCTGTAGTTTTTTTTTTCTTCCTACTATTTGTCACACGCAGACTTCATCAGCAGTGTCCCGCCCATCCGCGTCACTCACAGAGCGGGTGAAGGCAGAGCGCCAGGTCTGTGCCTCTCACACGCTCCGGAGCAGAGCCGCGCGGAGGGACGTGGAGCGCCGTGACACGCTGGAGATCCTTCTTCACTCGCATGATCGCAGATCTACCGGCAGGATCTAACGATGTGGACCGACCTCGGGAAGCTTGTGCTGCTACATTTGTTCCTCGTGGAGCTCAGCCACGTTAGAGGTAAGACTATAGGCTTGCAATGGGGAGATTTAGCGCCGTAAACGCGGATCCGGGCGCGCTCCACGGGGGGAACGGCAGGACTCTAAAACGTGGTCCGCGTCTGCGTTTGTGCGGTACGCCTTTGTGAGACTTCGCGTTTTCCTGCATGAGGCGATCGCCACTTTTGTCCGCGTTTTGATTGCTGACACAGGTGACACTAAAGAGAGGATGGATGGAACAGGAGCAAAGGGAAGGCTCCAGAGGTGTGATCCGACTGTGATCAGAGGCGTTTAGTATTTTGGATGCTGCAGAAAAAAAAAAGAAAACACAACTGACTGCCTTAGCAGCAGCAATTAAGAAACTGCCCATTCACTGCAATATTGTTTCTCCATTCCAACCCCTTTCCTCTCTTTGTAACAGTCACATTTTCAAAAGCTAATCAGTACTGTGGGTATAAACCACTGTATAACTTCCTGGAGTTGTGACTCATGCTTAATCCTCTTCCTTTTAACTCTGTGACTTTTAAACCAAAGGGACCCAACATAGGTGACAGGTGTTTTTCTGCCCCTACAGGAACTGGTACTGAGCTAGAATGTGAGACCGGACAGTTTCAGTGCAAGAACGGACGCTGCATCCCCAGTCTGTGGAGGTGTGACGAGGATGATGATTGCTCAGACAGCAGTGATGAAGACAACTGTCGTAAGTACCGTAGAACATGTGCAAACGTATGACAACAATCGCACATGTGCATGGTGGAAACGAGTCAGTAACACAGATGTACAGATAGTTTAGGACCTGAGCGTGGATCACGGCGTGTACCGCCGTAGCTGATTATGTTCGCACAGTAACTTTTGAACGATTGAACTCAGACTGAGAATAAGCTCCTTACCATTTTTATACTTTGGGGCTCCTGGAATCTCCCTGTTGACCGTTAGTCCACAGACGTCAGCGCACAAATCGCTGATCCTGGATCAAAGTCACATGCATGTGGAATTTTCATCCTAGTTTCCCACCAATTTCATGTTCTCAAGAAAACTCCTAACTAAAGCAGGGTGTTGGTCTTGACTAATGTTACTTCTTACTACATTTTTAGTAATAGTACCGCACATCCCAACACGAGTCCATGCTGCTATTGTTTGATTAAAGGCTTTGCATAAACACTTTCACGGCTTAAGCAGTTGTTCTGCAACTGGAGCTGAGAGATCGAATGCCGTGGGATGCATCATGCTGAGTAATGCTGGTTGTTTTAATGCAACGTCTTGGAAGTGGCTGCCTCTTGGTTGTTTTTGGGAGATCTCGATCTCTTTTTCTTGTCAAATAATCTATTGGGTTTCATCAGAGTTAAAACCGGAGTGAACCAGGTGTTCTCGGCGTAATCGTAAATCGTTCTTCAGAGAATGGTCGTATTAGCTGGAGGCTGATTTATGACTTACAGTAAGCTGGTGAACGAGCTCATGATTCTCTCATTTGGTCCGATTGACACGCTGAGCTCTCATCAGGAATGTTGTGACAACTATAATGGTGTCTCGCTGGCTCCAGACATTTATTAGGATTATTGGACAGCGATGGGCAGTTCGAGACGAGACGTTGAATTGGATTTTAATGAACCTACCTGCACTCTTAACAGGTGCGGGTTGCTTTGGTGTGTGTGAGTGTTGAGAATGTGAAATCTGACCTTGGGCCTCAAGGTCACGCCTGGTTTGTCTAATTGAGCCACTTTGTGGCAGAGATGTGGTCTTTTCTTTTGTCTTGTTGGTCTTTGCTACATTTCTTAGAAACGTTACACGACTATGGCTTCTCCCTACTCTCTCTCTCTTATTTTCCTATCCAGTCCATACCTTTATCTGCTTTACCTCTTGCCCACTGTCCTAACTGCTTTGCATTCTAGCCTTTAAAAGATTACCTTTTCATTCCTGTATGGGGCTAGACTGATAGATCAAGCCGATATTTACAATTTTGTTTTATACAATTATTCTGGTTATTCTTGGTGTTTATATATATATATATATATATATATATATATATATATATATATATATATATATATATATATATATATATATATAAACTGGTTGCTGTTGTGTTTTCTGCACCATTTTTCTTTTAACATATTCATTCTAGAGGCTGACCGATATGTTTTCTTTTTAAAGGCCGATACAGATTTATAAAGAATTTAGTTGCCGATGACCGATATCTATAGCAGACGAGTAAGGCCGATAAATTTACGTTTTTGCAGCACATTGATTGTGAAAGAAAACTATCGGCTTTTAAAATAAATTTTGGCCGATTGACTGATAAAGAAAACATTGAATATGTCTCATATCAGTCGGCCATATTTATATCCTATGGTTGTATTTATTTTATTTATACATACATTTATGTACCAGAAATACATATGCGTAAATGCTCCATTTTTGTTGGCTGACATTTTTTCTTACTCTTGTGGCTCATATTAGGGCTGGGCGATATGGCCTAAAATTAAAATCTCCAATTATTATTATTATTATTATTATTATTATTATTATTTTCAATTCTCGACCCCCCCCCACCCACCCCCGAAAAGCAATAAGTACTAAGACAACTTAAAGGAAATGTAGCTTTTACTAAATCAGAAGCAACACAAATGTAATCCTCATTTCTGAGATGAACAATGAAGAAATGAAAACCCTCTTGCTGCCTTTGACTGTGATGGGTGTTGGGCAAGCATGGAGTTTCTTGCCCCATGTCTGTTGCAGGAAACCCGTACCAGTTTCAAACAAGACGATTTTATTCCCTTTCTTAGGAACAAACTTCCCACTCTCACCGGTTGCCATGTTTTTGCTTGCTGTTGCTGTTTCACGTGTGCTATGGCGCTGTTGTCACTTGACATGTGAAACTAACACTACGGAATCTCCAGGGAACCAAAAAAGTGACATTACGTAAAAACTCAAATAATTTATTTTTTTAAATCGCCTGAAACGCAAAACTCGAATTAATTCATTCAGTCTGTATCGTCCAGGCCAAGTTCATATATTTAACACTGTATATTATATGTGTATGTATGTATATTGTTTTGGTTTGATTAACTTTGGGTAAATGTTTGATTTTTAATACAATGCAGTGCAAATAATTAAGATTCAAGATGGTTACATTCAAAAATGCTGTGTATGGATTGTTATTAGTAGCATTTTGGGATGCAAATAAGGCAGAAAAACTCTAGAAAACCTCTTGAAAATCAGCAGCACACATAGGCATCAGCAACAGTAAAATCCAAATTGGTTGATCTCTATTACTGTGTATTATTATTATTATTATTATTATTATTATTATGGGCATTGGTGGCACAAGAGTTAAGTGCTCACCCCTAATCGAAAGGTTGCCGGTTCGATCCCCGCTCAGTCTGTCGCTGCCCGTTCGTTGTGTCCTTGGGCAAGACACTTAACCCCCCTTACCTGCTGGTGGTGGTCGGAGGGACCGGTGGTGCCAGTGCTCGGCAGCCTCACCTCTGTCAGTGCGCTCCAGGGAAGCTGTGGCTACATCGTAGCTCATCCCCGCCAGCGCGTGAATGTGTTTGAATGGGTGAATGACTGATTGTGTTGTAAAGCACCTTGGGGGCTTCCAGGTCTCCAGGAGGCGCTATATCAAATACAGGCCATTTACCATTTTTATAATTTGATTCCATCATAGTGATCCTTCATGATGGTAAAAAAAATTCTCATTAGCACCTTGACAGTGCCAATGTCAAACATGTTATGCCCACTCGCCTTACGCCCACAAAGACCGCCAAGCTGACAGGTGGGTTGGCGATGGATCCAACAGCATAGCTCTGGTTGTTCGATGGTCGGCAGTATGCCAGCCCTGAGAGCAGATGCCAGCACTGCCACTGGGCCTTCTCCCTAAACCAAACACCACCAGCAGGAGCTCGGCAGAGAGGGGGTGGAGGCAGAGGAGGGTAAAAGAAATGAGACAGATTGGACATAGAGGAGCAGGATGGTGAGGAGCAGAGATGATGAGGAAAATGGGAACAAGTGATTCTGGAGATTGTGCCGTTTCAGGTAACATCACATTTATTCACGACCAAATCCTCGCCATCGGTCGCTGGACATCCTCACAACCTTCGGCTGTTACAAGACTTTGTAATAGAGTTTTAGGATTAAAATGACTTCAGCTAACACTCAATGCTGTGTTATTGCCAGCTGAGTAAAAAATACATTTTTTAAACAGCATCAGTTGTGTGGGGCGGAAGACAGAAGGAGAAATGAGGAATCAAGCAAGAAAATAACCCAGAAATTTGCATCTGATGAGCTTTTGTGTGCCGTTGCTGTCTGAGACGTTTATGCTTGATTGCAAAGCATCGTAGCTTAATAACACCTGTTAATAAAACTGGGACAGTTTGGAGGCTGTGCAACAAATGGATACAAATTCTACTGGTTCTGAGATTATGTGCAAGTTTTAAATTGTCCAAATAGATTGCCCTCAGAACAGGATGGTAGATGTTGTTAAATAGAGGACGGTAATTCTTTAGAGCACCACCGGGAGGAAATTAGAAGTCTCATTCACAGAGGGTCCTTGTCACACTTGTTCTTTCTAAACATGATTGGTAACTCTGAGTTTCACGTGCATGCCGAATGTTAAAAATGCCTTCAGGCCCTATAGAGCTCTGGGAGTTGACATCACTTCTCCCAGCATGCAACAGTTCAAATCGAAACGGCGCCATCTTGGCAGGCAGAAGCCCGCAGCTGGACTATTTGTTATTGTCAGAAAACTCAAACGGGAAATATGGTAGTTTCCTGTTGTGCCCCAGGATGCCAGAACAGACGCCGACGACAGAAGCGATGAGCCATCTACAGGATTTCCCAAGATCCGGAACGCCGCAAACGTTGGATCATTGCAGTAAAACGCACTAGTGACCGGGCTAAAATGAAGCTGTGGGATCCCGAGAGTAAAGGTTTTCGCTTATGCAGCGACCACTTCATATCAGGTACTTAAACCAACGTTTCCTCAACTGTGTATGGTATTTATTTTAAATGCTTTTATTACGATTCTTAGTGGGCTTCCTAAACTTATTTTGGCGTGGCTTTTTCCGTCTTATCACTCATAGCAACAAGTAAACGTCACGTAAAACGTTGCCTACGTGTTTTATGATCACAGCAATTAACCGGCTAAGCTGTATTTCATTTTAAGCAATGGTTGATCAATTGTCAGATTACAGCACTTTGGATTGCTATTATTTGTCTCACCGAGACCGATCTCAGACAGATCCTGAGACGCTCCTGCCTCACATATTTATTTTATTCACAGAAAAAAATCAAACTAGTGATTTCTCTTGGCGTTCAGTTTATACATTCAAACAGCACAGCACTCTATTTAAACTTCATACATGTACATGTAAATCTGTTATTTGTCCATCCTTCCATCCATCCATTTTCATCCGCGTATCTGGATTCGGGTCGCGGGAGCAGTAGCTTAAGTCGAGAGGCCCAGACTTCCCTCTCCCCAGCCACTTGGGCCAGCTCCTCCGGGGAAATCCCAAGGCGTGCCAGGTCTGCTCCGACAGCTTCTGTGTGTGAAGTGTGTGAATGTGTGTGCGAATGGATGAATGATACACTGTAGTGTAAAGCGCTTTGGAGTCCTTACTCTGAGAGGCGCTATACAAGTGCGGCTCATTTCTCATTCTGGCATTTTTAAAAAGTATCCCTGGGACACGGTAAGGGTCGGAG